GAACTGTACTAGTTCATTTCATATTACAATTCAGAATAATTTCAAGAATTAGTCGGGAACCAGGGGTTTCAGGTAAAGCAGTTAGAAAAACACAAGACAAAAAAGGTATTCTAATGAAATCATTATGTTGGTTTCTGTAATGGTAAGTTAAACTAAATTATATGCAACACCTCCAAAATGCATAATGCTTTCCATATGGGCTCAGTAGATTATTTGCAAAAGGGTCTGAGAGTAAAGCTTTCATTTTTGCAAATAGTCCAAAATGCTTAGGAAGAAAACACGGCGTTCTCCAAAGTTTTATAAATTCAAATGTTTCACTTTTTCAGGGTAAAAACAGTCTTACAGTCAGTCCTAAGGGTACTGACCCATTATGTCCTTCTTATTATGTGGGAAAAGCTTTAGTGATTTTTCACATATCAAGATTGCTTACAGAATCTGGATTTCTTTGACTGTTTAAACTTCCTTGCTTAAAAAAACTAAATCTAGTGAGGCAACTAGATATCGGCAGAGGATTGATGAGTTAATTTTAATGAGCTTGTGTAAATGTGTTCCTTCATATTTTTCCTCTCAAAAGAATTATATTTGTGGATAGACACAAATCAACTTATAATAGTTTCCATAAGTGTAATTTATTGAGACATGGATGAGATTTTGATGAGCTACAATCATTTTAAAGGTACATGTTTAAAAGTTTGTTTTTTGAAGCTTTACTAGATAGTTTTGATACAATTCACCTTCTACTACTTCCGTGGAGACACATCGGTCTAACTCTCCCTAGGGGGGCCAAAATGCTTCAACTTTTAAATGCTGACAAACCCTGGAAGAAAATAATAAGCCATTTTGTGTCTCCATCCCCCTCTCCCAACCTAAATTAGCTCAGACCCCCAGGACCATATGTGTTTAATTTTCAAAATACATTGAGAAATCCAGTTTCCAAGAATGTGAAAACCGAAATGGGAAGAGTGAGATTAGCTGTAACTTATGACCCTCTTAAAATAAATTTCAGCCAAAAATATTTTCTGAAACACAATCACCAAATGATAACTTCCCTGCCATTTTCACACAAACTCAGTGCATTATAAATTCCAGAGTTTTGTTTCTGTTTTTTTTTTTTTTTTTAATCTGGTGCATTCCCACGGAAATCTCATGATTTTTTAACAGGTTATCCCTGAGGATAACAATAAATAAAAGTTACATTTTTTGTTAGCCATTTCACATGGAAAAAAAATTAGCTTGCATATTTCTCAGTTGCTGCACTGAACTGTAAATGCTGGAGACTCATATGTATTAATATTTCTATTCAGAGCAATGCTCCTGATTTGAATGTGCCCTTTTCAGCATCCCACAAGGGGCCCTTTGGGCAATTACCTTAGCAATAATCTAAGACCTCTCTTTTCTATAAAAATAGTCAGGAATTTATATATACATCCACGTTTTATCTCAAAAGTATTTCCATGGTATTTTCAGGTGTAAGATCACATTGAAATGAGAAAAAAAAATAATAATACAGCACTTTCTGTTGCACTCTAAGTAATAAATAAATTTTGGTGTTCTAACCAATTAAATTAGTACTTTAATTCCTTTTAAAATCCTAATGTTTTGGATATTTGTTCCAGTTGTGATATCCACCCCCCCCCCCTTTTTTAGTCTAAGGGTGAACTATTTTGTTAGAAAGTCACTAGCACCATCTACCGTTGGTATTTGGAACTATTTTGAAATATTTGAAATGTTCTAGAAATATCACAGTTATACAATGATGGCAAGAAATTTGGAATTTACAAAGATTAAAAGAGACTTGGAATTTTAAACAAACATAAGATAAAACTAAATAGTAAATGGAACATAAGTTTGAGAAAACAACTATTTGACCTATAAGAAAACATTTACTTGAACATAAGGGACAAATAAATTAATAATAAGAATGTAGATATCTTCAGGGATCTAAAAGAAAAAAAATAATATTCTCAAAATTCATGTGAGCCCTGGCCGGTTTGGCTCAGCGGTTGGAGTGTCCACCTGCGGTCCGGAGAGACCTGGGTTCGGTTCCCGCTAAGGGCATGTACCTCGGTTGCAGTTTGTCCCTGGCCCTGGTTGGTCGTGTGGGTGGCAGCCGCTCGATGTGTCCCTTTCACATCGATGTTTCCCTCTCTATCTCTTCCTCTCTCTCCCTCCCACTCTATCTGTACAAAAAAAAGGAAAAATGTCCTCGGATGAGGATAAAAAAAAAAATTCATGTGAATGCAATTTTCATAAATAGTTTTGAGATTCTGGGATTTCATGATCTGTAAAATACCCCACACCCCAAAATTATAGTGACCAGTGAAGGGGTTCAGAACAGGCTTCCCTAAGATATGACACTTCAGCATGTGAATTATGTTGAACTGAAGGCAAGCAGCTTACTGCAGACTCACGAGAAACTGTCTTCTCCCCAAAAGAATTGAAATCTTGGGTCTTGCCACTAATAAGAGTTATTACCAGAAATAGCTTTTATGACTTACCTACAAGGCAGGGAAAACTTTAATTACTGAGAATCTGATCTTCTTATTGTGTTGCAAATAATCTTTCTCCTGCCCTGAAGTCCAGGGCACCTTACATAAGGTTAGGCTATCTGCATGTATTCTTTGGAAAAATGTCTATTCATATAAGAAAATATTTCAATTGGTTGCCTTTTCATTTTATTGATGATTTTCTATTTCTTATGTACCCCTGGATCGCATTTGATGCCAAACTTGCTACATGACGGGGAAAACATATTATGAGAAGAGATTAATTACATCCCCAACCCCACAGGGAAGTGCCAATCAAAACCACAATGAGAAATCACCTTGCACCTGTTAGGATGAATAGTATAAAAAAGACAAAAAATTACAAGTGTTAGCAAGGATGTAGAGAAAAGAGGGTTACTCGTGCACTATTGGTGAGATTATACATTGCTGCTATGGAAACAGTATGGAGGTTATTAAAAAAATTAAAAATAGAACTAGCATATGATCCAACAATTCTACTTCCGGGTATTTATCCAAAGAAAAGTAAAACACCTGGTTGAAGAAATATATACATTATTTACAATAGCCAAGATATGAAAGCAACCTAAGTGCCATTGATGGATGAATGGTTAGAGATTTGTGGGATACACACACACACACACACACACACACACACACACACTGGAATATTATTCATATTATTCAGCCATAAAAAAGAATGAAACTTTGCCATTTGGGACAATATAGATGGACATTGAGGGCATTATGCTAAGTGAAATGAATTTATATGTAGAATATAAAATAAAAATAGAGAGAACAGCTTGGTGGTTACCAGAGGTGGAGGGTGGGGGCTATAGGTCAAACAGGTGAAGGTAGTCAAAAAGGTACAACATTCAGTTATAAAATACATAAGTTATGGGGATGTACATTGAGCACCACAATGATAGTAAGTAATACTATAGTGTATATTTGAAAATTGCTAAGAGAGTAATGCTAAAAGTTCTTATCACAAAAAAAAATATGTAACTATTTTTGCTAACAGATGTGAACTATACTTACCATGGTGATCATTTCACAATATGTACAAATATCAAATCATTATGTTGTATACTGAAACTAAAATAATGTTGTATGTCAGCTATATTTCAATTAAAATTATATTAAAGAACAAACCAGCAGCCCAGCTAGTGTAGCTCAGTAGACTGAGCATCATTCTATGGACTAAGAAGTCCTTATACTATTCCGGTCAGGGCACATGCCTAGGTTTCTAGCTTGATCCCCAGTAGGGGGCGTGCAGGAGGCAGCCGATTGATGTTTCTCTCCTACATGGATGTTTTTATCTCTCTCTCCCTTCCTCTCTCTCTAAAAAAATCAATAAAAAATATTTTTTAAAAAGAAGAACAAACTAACAACTGAGAATAATTTTAAAGAGAAAAAATGACATCAAGAGTCTCATTGGTTCTCTGAAACATTATTAGTACAAAAACACGAAGTATATTAATAAAGTGATTTATTGGAGAACATTGAGTAATCTAGCAGCAGTATAAAAACTTTCTGAACTAAATAAATTATTTGCTTTTCATTGGCACAACTAAAATTTCTTTCAAAAGAAATGAACATTGGGTATGTGGTTCAATTTTGTGCCCTAACTGAATTTTCACTAAATCTTCTGGTGTCACAGGCATTCTATTTCAATCAGATTCTATTATTTTATAAATTAATCTGACATCTTTTTTTAGTGTCCTAGAAAAATTTGATAGTATTTCAAAAAGGAAGATAATAAACTGAAAAAAGAAGGAATGGTAGCATTTGATTATTCAATCAATGCGTTTTTTGATCTCCCAGACCATATATTGAAAAGGGACATGTACTCCTCTTATTCCTCATTGTATTGCCGAAAAACTACCATGTGAAGGACATTAGGTGCTTTAAAAGTTTGTTTAATAAATAAATACATAATTGGACAGTGAAGAAAAGAAAGAATAGTAGATACCCTGGAGAAAATTGGTTATGAAGATAATAGAATGAAAATACTTGCCAACTGGTTTAATTGCCTAAATGATCCCTAAAAAATATTTTCAAATGGAGTAACCTGCTTCCTATAATATACAAAAATAAGTTTTCATAGCAAGCAGACTGAGTTTTTGTTTTGGCACAAGTAAATTATTTCTCTTTTTACCAGGATTAAAAATTAGTACATGGACAGTGGTTACAAATGTCCAATTTTCATGGACCAAAGAGTAACAAAATTTTAAATTATTGGAAGGAAAGAGTTTGTTAAAGTAAGAGAGAGAGCCAGTGGTTTGAGGGAAATAATATAGTTCCACTTAAATAACCAATTATTTTTCTTTTTTCATAGTAAAACTTAATAATAATACTGATATATATATAAAATTCTTGCATCAATGGGGCATTGATAAAAGGAATGTCTGCTTCATAAATAATCATAGTTTGTTAAATGCTGCCTGAATTCAGAAGATCACTTCAGAACAGAGCATCAAGAATAAAAACAAAGTGCTCACTTCGGCAGCACATATACAAAAATTGGAAAGATACGGAGAAGGTTAACATGACCCCTGTGCAAGGATGATACAAGTTCATGAAGCGTTCCATGTTTTTAAATAGCATGTTATTAAACAATAAATGGGTTAACACTGAGATTAAAGAAGAAATTAAAAAATTACCTGGAAACAAATGAAAATGAACCACAACAACTCAAAATCTATGGGACACAGTGAAAGCAGTCCTGAGAGGGAAGTTCATGGAATTGCAGGCCCACCTCAAGAAGCAAGAAAAATCTCAGATAAACAATATAACCCTACACCTGAAAAAAGTAGAGAAAGAACAACAATCAAAGCCCAGAGTAAGTATAAGGAAGAAAATAAAAGATCAGGGTGGAAATAAATGACATAGAAACTAAAAAAACAAACAAACAAAAAAAAACAACACACAATACAAAAGATAATTGAAACCAAGAGCTGGTTCTTTCAAAAGATAAAGAAGATTGACAAATCTGTAACCATACTCATCAAGAAATAAATATAAGGGCCCCAAATAAATAAAATCTGAAATGAAAGAGGAAAAGTAACAACTGACATCACAGAAATATAAAGGATTTTAAGAAAATACTGTGAACAATTATATGCCAACAAATTGGATAGCCTGGGCAAAATGGAAAAATTCCTAGAAACATGGACTCTTCCAAAACTGAACCAGGAATAATCAGAAAACCTGAATAGACTAATTGCAACTAATAAAATTGAAGCAGTAATAAAAAATAAAAAAAATCTCCCATCAAATAAGTCCTAGACTGGATGCTTCACAGGTGAATCTTTCAAACTATCAAAGAAGAACTAACACCAATCATTCTTAGACATTTCCAAAAAAATTCAAGGGGAGCAAAGACTTCCAAGTTATTTTTACAAGACCAGCATTATCTTAATTTAAAATCAAATAAAGATACTACAAAGAAAGAAAATTATAGGGTAATATCCCTGATGAACATAGATACTGATATCCGCAACAAAATATTAACTAATCAGCACCCAACAATTAATTAATAAGATCATAACACCATGATCAAGTGGGATTTATTCCAGGTATGCAAGGTTGGTACAATATTCACAAATCAATAAAAGTGATACATCACATAAACAAAATGAAGGATAAAAATCATGTGATCATATCAATAGATGCAGAAAAAGCATTTGATAAAATCTAGCACCTATTTATGATAAAAACTCTCAGGAAAGTAGGAATAGAGGGATCATACTTAAACAAAATAAAGGCCATATATGGTAAACCTATAGCCAACATTATACTCAATGGGCAAAAATTAAAAGCATGTCTCTTAGGATCAGGAACAAGACAGAAATGTCTACCTTCACCACTCTTATTCAATATAGTACTGGAAGTCCTAGTCACAGCAATCAGACAAGAAGAAGAAATAAAAGGGATCCAAACTGGAAAGGAAGAAGTAAAACTGTCATTATTTGCAGATGACATGATATTATACATAGAAAATCCTAAAGACTCCACCAAAAAACTACTAACTCTAACAAATGAATTTGGTAAAGTAGGAGGATGCAAAATTAATATTCAGAAACTGGTGGCAGTTTTACACATCAATAATGAACTATCAGAAAGAGAAATTAAGAAAACAATCCCATTTACTATTGCAACAACAACAAAAATAATAAGGTACCTAGGAATAAATTTAACCAAGGAGGTAAAAAACTTGTACCCAGAAAGTTATAAGACACTGAAAAAAGGGAATGGAAGTAATTTACAGAGAAAAAAAAAAGGAATATGGAAGTAACTGGAAGCATATATCATATTCATGGATTGGAAGAATTTACATCATTAAAATGTCCATACTACCCAAAGCAATCTATAGATTCAACATAACTCCTTTTAGAATACCATTGGCATATTTCCCAGATCTAGAACAAATATTCCAAAAATTTATATGGAATGAAATAAGACCCTGAATAACCTCAGCAATTTTGAGAAAGAAGAACAAAGTTGGAGGTAGCATGCTACCCAATATCAAACTATACTACAAGGTCATTGTGATTAAAACAGCCTGGTACTGGCATGAGAACAGGCATATAGCTCAGTGGAATAGAACAGAGAGCCCCAAAACAACCCACACCTTTATGGTCAATTAATATTTGACAAGGGAGGCAAGAGAATACAATAGAGAAAAGATAGTCTCTCCAATGAATGGTGTTTGAAAAATTGGACAGGTACATGCAAAAACAATTGAAACTAAACCACCAACTTACACCATATACAAGAACAAACTCAAAATGGATAGAAGACTTAAATGTAAGTCATGAAACCATAAAAATCCTAGAAAAACACAAGAAGTAAAAGTTCAGATATCTCTTATGGCAATATTTTTGCCAATATATCACCTAGGACAAGGGAAACAAAGGGAAAAAAAATAAACAAATAGGACCACATCAACCTAAAAGGTTTTGCATAGCAAAAGAAACATTCAACAAAGTAAAAAGAGAACCCACTATATAGGTGAACATATTTGCCAATGATACATCTGATAAGGGGTTAACTTCAAAAATATATAAAGCACTTATACAATTCAGCACCAGGACGACAAATGATACAATTAGAAAATGGGCAAAGAACCTGAACTTCTCCAAAGAGGACATACTGATGACCAATAGAATTGTTCATCTTAAATGCTTGATGTAAGTAAAATTGTGGTTAAAGAACTTGATAGTGGGGCCATCTGTATAGTTAGGCTGCTTGGCACATGGTGAGACTTGAAAGATACAAGTTTCGCATCCCTTAACTATCCCCTTCCTTCTTATCACAGTACATAAAATTCAACCACTAGTAAGCCATTCCTTTTAATTAATTAAAGTGTCCAAAGGGTCCTCTTTTCAAGTATTTTATGTACTTCTCCTGAGTAAGTGGTAACATGAAATAGTTTTGCCAGTTGTAAAACGATATGGCATTCTAAATAGTAGGTACTAATGAAGCCAGTGGAGTTGGGGGACTCAAAAAGGAGAAAACAAGCCCTGGCCGGTTTGGCTCAGCAGTTAAGAGCATCAGCCTGTGGACCAGAGAGTCCCAGGTTCAGTTCCTGCTAAGGGTGCGTACCTCGGTTGCAGTTTGTCCCCGGCCCTAGTTTGGGGTTGTGTGGGTGGCAGCCAGTCGATGTGTCTCTCTGACATCGATGTTTCTCTCTTTCTTTCTCCCTCTCTCCTTCACTCTTTATCTAAGATAAATGCAAAAAAATGTCCTCAGGTAAAGATAAAAAAAAAAAAAAGAAAGGAGACAACAAGACAGAAATGGAGGGAGGCAGAAATAAAGTTGCATGTATGACTACTTTACTATTTTGCCTATGGATAGGTCTTGTTGCTAGGTAAAGTAGGGAACAGATTATTTGAATTAGAACAAAATGCTTGAGGTAGTGATTAAAAATCACTAATTTTGTCTTCATATATTTTTTTTAATCTTGGACCAGGTGTTTACTAAATAATTTGATGCAAACTTTGCTGACTAGAGTTAAAAGATATTCTACGTTATATAAGTTAGTAGTGATTTCAAAAGGAGGGTATTTAACATTGTTGAAAGTAATTTGCAAAAAGAAAAAAAAACCAAAACGTTGCTTGGCTTTCTAAATGCTTAATGGACAATTTTGGACTGAAGCCATACACTATCTTTTCAGAGAAGGCTTCAAGACCAAACCAGGATCTAGAGTTGGAGAGACCAAGCGGTTCTCACTGGGAAATAAAAAATGACATCTGTCCAATCTTACCAGTATTGCCAGACACAAAATGTCAATTTTCATTTCAGTGAGATAGTCTCCTCATCGGTGACTTTTATTTTAGTTTAGTTTTCTTACAAGTGACTTTTAGACATCAGTGGCTCTGAGAGAGAAGGCACTCATCTGAGTCTTTGGTGGTAAGAGTTACTTCTTTCACAAACCCCTACAAACCCTGTCACCCTGCCCCTCTTCAGGATCTTCCACTCTGTACTGCAGTTTTTGAGGAGAGAGGATTTAAGAGGAATAACTTTAAAGGAGTGATTCCTAAACGCCTGGCCATTTCATAATCATCCAGAGAGTTTGTTTATTTGTTTACCATTTTGAAACCATTTTAAGTATGTAGTTCAGATAAATTCACATTGTTGTGTCTCCATTACCACGTCCAACTCCAGAACCTTTTCATCTTCTTATACTAAATTCCGTACCCTATTAAACAATAACTCCCCAGGCTGTCCACCAAAAGAGTTCCAGAATAGTGGAAGTAGGAAATAGACTGAGAAACCTCAGAGGGATGGGGGTAGGGAGTGGGAAGAGATAAACCAAAGAACTTATATGCATACATGCACAGCCAACCAACACAGACATAGGCTGGGGAAAGCAGGAGGGGGGTGGGAGCGGGAAGGAGGGGGTCCATGGAGAAAAAAGAGGGACATCTTTAATACTCTCAACAATAATAAAAAAGCTCCCCATTTCTCCCTCCCCCAGCCTCTGAAAATTCCCATTTTACTTTCTGTCTCTATGAATTTGACTATTCTAAGTAGCTCATTTCAGTGAAACCACACTGTATTTGTTCTGTACTGGCTCATTTTATTTGGCATGGCTACCAGATTCATCCATGATGTGACCTGTGTCAGAATTCCCTTCCTTCTCAAGGTTGAGTAACACTCCATTATATGTACATAGCACACTGTGTGTCCATTCATCCATCAGTTGACATTTGAGCTGTGCCTGCTGCTCTAAGGGCTTTTTCTATCCTGAGATTGCAATTTTGTCACACACAACCTCATCTCTAAGTCAGCCCAGAGACAGGTTAGAAAGTTATAAATTTGCTCTGCTCTATACTCTCCAGATTGGGGCAAAAGGTTGGGGACTAGTGTCAGGGTGAGGGTGGACAAGGGCAAGCAATTCTGAAAAGAAAAACTTCAGTCTGGAAGTTGAAAGCCAAAGTAAAACACTTTGGCAAAACTATGGCTCAGCAATACTTCGAATAGAAGACAGAAAAAGCACTTGTGGGGGTGTTGAGGCTCTTAAAATACATGGTCGAGAGAAATTGGTCAGTAAAGGAGGCAGAAGCTGCCGCAGGACTCTGGAGACTGGGGGA